CATTTATGGTTATGCAATACGTAAAGATAATACTAACGATCTAAAAGTTTTTATTTTACTAGATCGGCATGAGTCATGTATCAGGTTATACGTTAATCAGCACCAATTTTTTATCACAAAAGTAAATCTTAGCCAATCAACCGAATTTCTAACAAGCTCAAGGTATTTCCATTTCCATTTTATTGATTATGTTGAAGAATGTCTTTGATCAATTAAAAAAAAACTTTGTATATTTTGAAAGTTGGAGTGATCTGCCGAATCCTCAGGTACCGCCTCCACCCGTTGATCAAGGGCTTGTTAATCTTTACCAAGAGATTAGAACGACAGTTAAGCAAGAGGCTGAAGTTATAAATGTTGTATTTCCTGATCCGGTTGGAGTCATGCAAGTTTTCTTGCAACGTATTTTTGCTCAATTGGTATGAAAAAATTCGTTTTTAATACTGTAATGTGACAAAAAAATTTGATCAATTATTGCACTTTTTTTATTTAAGTAGATTCAGACATATCTTGAAAGTCTTCTGATGCATGCTGAAAATAATTCAACATTAGCTTATTTACGCTGTTTGGTTGCTGCAAATATTGCGACAAAAGAACTCGTTGAAGACTTGAAAGGCTTGGATATGCGCCAGAAAGGTTTATCTAATACTAGTTATTTGGATGCAAATGAAGCATCACATAATAGTGGTACAATTGCAGAAATTTTAGAACAATGTATTAGAGATCTGTTTGTACCATATACTGAAGGTGACCGTTACATCGAAAAAGAAAAAAAATCATTAGGAGAATTATATTCATCCTTACTATTACAGTTTACAGCTTATCATGTAAGCCTTAAGGATTAATATTCTATAATTGAATCGATTTCAGGTCAATTTTAATTTTATAATATCTTATATCAGACACAGCAAAAACAATTGCGTGCGGGCAGCTTACTCGGTCGTGCATTCAATCAGATAACATTATATTCTAATACCAATCTTATGGATGTTCCGACCACAGAAGATGATGGAAACTTGTCAGTTAATTCAGCCATGTTGATGCTTAAAATACATGCAGAAGCAATAAGGCGTGCCATGAAGCTTAGTCCATTTACCGAATTGTAAATAGCCAACGATTTTTGTTTTTACTTACTCTTTTTTAATAAGCTATTCCAATAATGGATTTTATTGTTTAAAGACCAAAATTTGCCGGAGTATTGTTTTACGTTCTTTTAGATAACATCGGAAAGCAATATATTGAAACTGCCTA